GGGGATAGCCCCCTGCTGCCGGTGGGTAGCCACCTGCCTGGGGGGGATAAGCCCCTGGTTGAGGTGGGTAGCCCCCTGCCTGTGCTGGGTATCCACCGGACTGAGGAGGGTATCCTGGGTAGCTCATCTTCAAAACCTGGAGGTGACATGAAGTTATGGCTTGTTACTTTGACGTATGAAGGCCAGCAAATGCCTATTTTTGAACACAGGACATTCCCAGAAATTCAGAGTTTAAATGTTGATCCTTTCCCATAAACTGCTCCAGTGATACTTTTCAAAAGCCCCAGAGGTACTGGGATGGAGGTTGAAAATGGAGTGTCAATGGTCAACAATTACCGGTTTGACTACTACAGTGTGTGTGCCGCATTCATTCAGACTGTAAACAATCAACCAATACAAACAAGAACGTGTCAAAGGGATTTTAAGTAGCTGATTTAAGCTGAAGTAGCAGTTACTAGTAGTAGTTAGTAGAAGTTAGCTATTTGCTCAAAATTAGTTAGTTCAGTAGTGTTATAATGGTATCTAAAATAACATTTAGACAACCTAAAATCACAAAAATCTATCTTATATCAGCAAAAATGCCATTAACTATCATATATAAAAGTTTTCAAACAGTGCTCTATAAATGACAAACTGATACCCAACCATGCATCCATTAGTGTAACCCTAATAAACTGATTTACCTTCCACCCACAACTTCTGTAAGTTAATGAATAAGCCACAACTTTAGACAAGAATGAGGTCCTTCTGAGTTTCTTCCTGATTCACTCCACACACACAAGGTTGTTTGACCAATTCTCCATTATGACGACAGAAACTCACCACTTCCATCCGCCTAGATCCTTATGATACGGGGTGCTCACAGCTTTTAATGAAGTTTGAGTTTCTCTTCCCCTTTCTTGAAAAAACACTGCATAATTGCAAACTAGCAAGGGACCCAAACATTTTTAAATTACACATTAGGGATCCCATCCATTTGCAGAGCTGCTGTTGAAATTACATAATTGTTTAGGTGCCTCAGTGTCATTAAAAAAAAGCAAAAAATACTAATTACAGCTGCAGGTCTGCCCGCTGTCATTAACCATAATCTGTGAGTGGAAATTCACTTTGTTTATATGCACACAAGAAACCAGCTACTGGGAGAAATCAGTTGATAACACAAAGGTACAGTACACAGTTTGGCTCTGTTAACACAGCTTAGTTATTTACATGCAAACAAAGACAATTCAGCTGTAAAACTCAAATTTCTTTAGCGCAATTTAGTTGTTTTAATTATTCAGACGTTTTTTTTTCTTTCATGGACATAAACACGCTGGGTGACTTCTTGAAGGGCATTTGATTTTGACTGTTGACACCCCCCGCCCAAGTTTCCAGCCCTCTCCTTTGGACCCTTTAAGGACTGGTGAGGCTTTTAAGTGTAATCGTAAATACCAGCATCTCCATCACAATACAGACTTAGGACCCCAGGATTGGTTAAAAACGAGTAGGAAAGTCAAAGTCCAGATTGATTTATACCTGACATAAAATAAAAACCTGGCATCTTGCTAGCATTAATTACACCTGACAGTTTCTTCTTTCTATTCTTCGATGCATTTTTTAAAAATAAGAACGAGTCCAAAGTTTTAATTAAATATATTAAAAATATCCGTCACATACGTATTTAATTTCAAAAGAAAAGCGATAAACAAAAACAGATTTCACACTGTTGTTACATTACTTATTTTTACGGAGAACACTGGAAAGCACCAAAAATCTACGACAGCATCACGGGCCCGTGTTTGTTAGCTACAACTAAAATCTTTCACAGTAACGTTACTCTTGTTTAAGCCTACAACAATAAAGTATAATCTTACTATAAAAAAAAGGTCCAAATGCTACCAAGCCTTGCTCATGTTTATTTTCACTCCAAACATCCTTCTTTGATGTTCCGGGAGCTTCTATCTACTCTGCGGTTCGTTAACGTTACATAATACTCACGGAGGAAGTTACTGTTTAGCATTTAGCACCCAATATGAACACACACTGGGAGAAAGGACTAACACGTTATAGATAGATACAGTTAAGAGTACCAGGAGGCCATTATTTGTTAAAACTTTTAAATATGAAGAAAGCTCCACGTTTGTTACTGTCAAGCTCGACACCGGCTGTGTCTGTTTAATTGGGCGAGGCTAATTCCCTACATTCCTCGGGCAGAGAATCAAGCTAACAGTCGGCGCAAATCCTATTAAAGGTCCTTTGCTGAACCTCGTTGTCGCCTGTAACGCGGCGTAGGATTAGTATTTCACGGGCTTCTCAAAAAAAAAAAAAAAAAGAAAAGAGTAACTGGAGTCACTTACTTCTCAGACACGGGCTTCAGATCCAGGAAGAAGACGAGCAGTGAGCGGCAGAGAGTAGTTCGGAGGTGGGGCGGGTCCTCAGCATTGTTTCCGTCCTGCACTTAATAACCTTTGCTCGGTTAAGCGGCTGATGTTGACTCAGTGGACTGTGGTGTCATTTTTTCCCCCACAGTGGACACTGGGATATTTGTTTACAAGTGATTCGATTTGTTTGCATGGTAATACAACACTGTGGATATTTGTTAAAAAGAAGAATTTTTTTTAACTATAAATTCTCTAGTTTTCATTTAAATTGTCAACGTTGGGTTAGGTATGTGCACATATTTGCAAAGGAATTTGACTCCGGTTTTAAGTTGCTCTCAGTGTTATGTACACAGAATAAGCATAAATAAACAGGATAACAAGCTCAACAAATAGAGTGCAAAGGATGCTGAAATAAATATTGACTTACAGGTTTCTTTATGTACATGAACTAGGTGGATATGACTGTATAAACAGTATGCACAGCATGGGTAGATGTGTTTGAATGATTGTATTTCTGTTTTTATATTTGTTTTTATATTACTTAACTACATTTTAATGATTAATCATGTCTTTAAAGTCCCTGAAAACTTGGTTTGAAATCTTAAAGAACCCCCTCCAGATATATAAAAATACTTTGAATAATATTTTGTGTCTCATATGATTTTTCAGTGGAAGGGCAGCCTAGAGCAGTGTTTTTTAAAGCAAGGGCCACAAGAGGGTGCCAAGGGCCTCAGCAGATTTTGAGGAAAGGTGAGGGGGGAAATGCAAAAAAAAAAAAATATTGAAATCTTATTTGCCATGTCCATTTTTCTAATTGGCTGACAGTCAAAAGATCACTCATCACACAAACTGTCAGTGTTGGTCTTAACCTGCCATCACTCTGCTCTGCTCCTGAAATTGAGCTTTGCTTTGTTGTCAGTGGGTTTTTAAAGACAGCTTACAAAAAGGGGGCAATTTGGGAAGCCTTGGCATGAAAATGTATGGGAACCCCAGCCTTAGTGGGCGCTTCATAACGTTTTACCTATAGAGGATTCAAGTGGGCACTTTTGCAGCATTCTTTCACATCACATAATACAGCACATCTCATCATCACATCACAACAGTTAATACAACATACACACAGTGGAAAACATGCCTTCTGAGCCGACCTGTGCAGATTAGTGCAGTTTGCTCATTAGGTTTATTGCACTAGGTATAAAAAATCCCTTACAGATCATTTTGTTTGCCAGAGTTGCTCTGTAGTGTCAGCCTGAGGGGAGCAGTGTAGAGGCGGTGGTTAGTGTCACCATGCAACGAACGTTCCTTTGTAGAGCTGTGCTGTAAAGGTCATTCAGTGGCTTTTGTTGGCGGCCTACTTTCTTTCCTGCTGTTTTGACAATCCTGGCTAGCTTGTTTTTCGTTAGTGTCAGATATCCATACCAAACAGAGATATTAAACACAGGAATACTCTCTATCAGGCTGACATACACTGTTTCCAAGATGTTATGGCTGACCCAAAACCCTTTCAGTTTCCTAATTAAAAGCAGTCGCTCAATTTGTCACCCATGTATTTTCCTAAAGAACTGACAATTTCCCACTGACTGACCACAAAGTGTAAGCAATGGGGATGGGTCTGCTCCTTTGTTTTTCCAGCATTGATTGACAGGAAGCTGGATTCACACCAGTGTTCCAGCCTGGAAACTTAGGCAAAGTAATCAGAGACAACATCACTGTGAAAAAGACCAACTAAAGCCATTTCATCAGCGTATTTAAATAGCATATAGCTGCTGCTCTGCAGTGTCATCTCGTTTTAGTACACAGAAAATATAAGCTGTGATAAAACACAACCCTGACAATTTGATGTGCTCAAAGTGAAATTCAAAACGAACAATGGGTCGTATAATCAGAATCCTTTGACATTTATCCAATAATTTATGATTATATCCTATTGCACCAAATATACTTTGCATTTTATTGAAATTATTCTGTATGTTAAAATGATCTGAATTGAATTTTACTTTTCACTTTTTCCATAACAATAACAATAACATTTATGATAATAACATTATGTGTTCATTAAAATTAACATAGTTACACAAACACTGAACTGAATAACAATAAATACCTAGTTTTCTTTGTTGTTTATTCGTTTGTTTTTGAAAGTGGAATTTGTTCTGAGAGTTGGGAAATGATGTTTCATTATCAACAAAAAAACACTAGATGGCAGCAGTCTACTTGTGGTCAGGACGTGCCTACAGCCTGTTGGCCTTCTAGTAAAAGAAACAACTGATTTCCAGTGAAGAAATGAACCTGGTTGGTTCCCTGTCAGTCTAACTGAGCACCATAAAGTGGGGCTTAAATAAGCACGTTATCTTTTCTTATTTTATTTTATTGCTGTGTGTGATTAATCTTAAATGTAATGATGGAAACCCGTCATGGCATTTAAAAAAAAAGTTTTTTGTCAATAATATAACAAACATATACTTGTAGCTGTACTGTTCAAATATAGTAGCCTACTGTACAACGAGGGTCTTCCTCGGATATACTTGCTATTGTAACTAAATATGTAAAGAAAAAGTAAGCATAAAGATGTAAACCCATGTTGGACCTCCTATTGGCTGTGACGCAACCCAGAGTCCTGGCCGGAGCGCGCCTCCAGCTCCCCACTGGCATTCAGGCTTTTGCGCTTCATGCTTTCACTGCGCGCTCCCCCCGTGACTGTTACTGGGGTCCTTCAGGGCTCCCCAGGTGAACACAAGGATCACACCCATCCAGTTGGAGCAAGGGGATGACTGAAAGAAGTTGTGTAAACCAGAAAATCCGGCGGTTCTGACGGTGCAGTCCTCCAAAACCAACATGATGTCTGCTATAGAGACTGGTACCCCTGTGTACCAACCTGCACAGCTGCTCAACTGGGTCTATATGTCCTTGCAAGACACTCAGAGCGGCGCTTTTGATGCGTTCAAAGCCGAGTCGGACACTTCTCCTCAGGACATGAACATCTCCAAGCGCAGCGCAGCTGATCTGAGTTCCAACTATCTCAACAACTTCTTCCATCTGAGGAGCGAGGTAGACTTCATGTTATGTTACGCGCTGATAGTAATGAATAACACTTGGCATGGCAGCTTACAACTTTTCTTTTCTTTTTGCTGCATGACAAAAATCTCTCTCCTAAGATGTCCGTGAATATTATACACGTGTTTCATTCCAGGTTATTTTTGTTGCCCATACAGTAAACCTCACCTGCATGCCTTCATTGGGTCGCACTGTGGTGAGTGGGTAGCACATGAATATGTGTTTTGTACCCTGGTATAGTGCCTGAGTGTGTTCAGACTGTTCTGGTGTCAGTGTGCAGCTGGAGGAGGAATGGAACTGGAATGGCAGGTTGAGAAAGAGCTCTCACAAGGTTTTAAAAATGTTTGAGTTCACAGTAGGCCAGCCTCTGCCTGGCCAGTATGTGGTGTTCACTCAGTTGGGGCTTGGTGTTGCTTAATTTGATACTGACACATTCAGGAAAAGTAGGAAAAATGGACGTAAATCATAAAAAAAGTGAGTTTTGGTTAAACTAGGGGCAAAAAAACCAAAACATTTGCTCTACTTTAAAACTGAGAAAAATCCCTTTTAACTTTAAAAAAAATGAAATACTGTAATTGCACACATCCCCCAGACATGCAGTAGTTTGATGCAGAACATTACCCACTGCAAATGTACACATGCATCTGATCACAATTCTCTTTCTGTGATGCCTTCAGGGTAAACAGCCAGTGTCTTGCTGGCTGGTCTTCTTCATGTTTGCCCTGCGGTGCCATAGCACCCGTCTCCTCCAGAGGCACAATGATGCTGATTGTGCCGTGTCAATAGAACAAGTTAGAAGAATGCATGACAAAGGCATTTTGTTCTGACGAGGAAATGGACACTATTGGCCCCACAGCGTAAATGCAGCAAAGGCAGCACATCTGCAGAAAATGAAATAATGTCGGCTACTGTCAGAGAGACAAACAGATGAATCAATCAGGGTGATGGACTGACATGCTGGCTGAAATGCTCTTTTATTGTAGAGTCACGACAATAATCGTCTGTGTTTTTGTGACATGAGAGATACTTTTGTGTAGAGCTGAAATGATGCATTGATTAATTGATTAGTTTATTAGCACATTAATCAAGAATAATTCATTGTTTCATACACAAATAAAAAAATGTCAAATGTTTTCTACTTCCATGTGAGAATATGCTGCTTTTTATAGAATATCTTTGGGTTTTGGAGCTATCTGAGGACGTCACTTTAGGCTTTGAGAAAATGTGATGGGCCTTTTATTGACTACATAAGGGATTAATCACCAAATTAATCAGTAATGAAATAGTTGCTATCTTATCCTCTTTTCTCTGACAGGCCCTGAATAACAATTTCTATAAGAGCTCCTCGCCCTACGGGTCCCTGAACAACATCGTCGACGGCCTGAGCTCTCTGGCAGACCATTTCTCAGACCTCTCCCTATCCCCAGAGACACGCAAACCCAGCAAAAGGCCGCCGCCCAACTACCTGTGCCACCTTTGCTTCAACAAAGGACACTACATCAAAGACTGCCCTCAGGTGAGCCAGTCAGTGATGTTATACATCAGTCAAGTGCAGATACACACAGGCAGCAGCCTAAATTGAAACAGCTGTGCAGTTTGTGGGCCATTTTGAGCTGTCTATCAAATGCATAAACATGTTTTGAGGAACATATGAAGTGCTGTCTGATAAGGAGAGAATCATTAAGATCTGATTCTCAGTTCAAATCCATGTTCTTCCTCCCAGTTATAGGTAGACTATTCAGCCCTTTTTTTCTTGAATCAATGGTATTAAAACTACAAGTTATAAGTTTGAGTGTTATGTTTGTATTCTTTTTTTCAGTGTGAAATATTCCTTGGCACATATTTGTGGTAGATGTACCACCGCAGGTTGGTAATGAGCAGCAGATGCCAGATTGGATCTCGGAGCTGGCCTTAATGAAAGATGATAGGTTACTCTGTGGAACTAGGCACGACCTCTCTTCCAAACACGAAAGAAATATGGCCGATGCTTTATGCACAGCTGCGGTTTCCCATTGATCATGTTCGGAGGGAAATGCCTGACATTTGTTAGGTATAATGGAAATAATCAAATGACTGATGGACAGGATGTGTCCATGAGACGAGGTAGCAAAACGTAGAAGTTCTAATAGCTGGGAAACTTTTACTGGTCAATTATATGAAGGAGTCAGTAAAGTCTAATTGCTTCCTTTTGTGAGGCAAACGGAGGATTTAATAGTGTGAAAGCTGCATCACGCACCAATAAATAACTCCTTCTAGCAATATTAGTCTTTTCTGTGAGTTTTTGACAGTTTTTCAGAAGTTAAGACTGCCCCAACGACTGTCCTCAGAACAGCTACAGCTGTCAAATGTCATCATAGGAAGTAAGTGTCTAAAACATTAATAGTTGTTGGTGCAAGAGATCAATTAATTGGGCTATAACATTTAAAAAAAATTTAATTTCCAGCACAGGTAGCTGCATTTCTTTCAGCCTGTTGAATTCCCGCCATGTGAGCTTGGAGCCATAGTTGGACATTTTGGGAAATACACTCATTTGCTTTTCTGCTGAGAGTTAAATGAGAAGATTGATACCACTCTTACGTCTGTGTGGTAAATATGTTGCTGGAACCAGCCCTCTTTTGGCTTAGCTTAGCATAAAGAGTGAAAACAGGGAGAAACAACTAGCTTGACTCTCTTTAAAGGGACATAACCTTACCAAGAGAGTGAATTGTCTGATTTTCATATGGATTTAACACATTCAATTTTATGTGTTAATTAGGGTGCATTAGAGGTGTTGGCAGGCAGAGTTTGTCACCTTTGGACAGAGCCTGGCCAGCTGTTCTTCCAATGTTTCCAGTATGTATGCCAGGCTCAGCTAATCATCTCCTGGCTGTTTGATGTAAGAGTGCTATCAGTCTTCTCATCTAACTCTCTGTAACTAAGTATTTCCTGTAACATTAATTTAACTAAAAAACAAGGAGCAAAGATGTAGGATGAGTCCATCTGTCAGCTCACAGTACAAATACTTAATTACTGTGCTTTTTAAATTCCTTTTAGCTCATTTTTTACACAAATATCTGTACTTTCTACTCCTTGCATTTTCAGAATAGGCTCGTAGTTTTAAAGCATTTGAGGGGGAATATCGATTGCTATTATTCTTTTTTTGCATCATTGCAAACCTTCCCAACTTCAAGACGTATGACAGATGTAACGGGCTGAAAACATAAAAGATATATTGACGTAATGAGACCAAACAGATAAAAGAGGGAGACTGAACCCTGTTTGAAGTTTCAGTTAGCTTTGCACAGAAACAGCTGGTAGAAATGTCCTTCAGAGAAACCCATAGAGTGCTCTATACTTTTATATTTTGAGTATATTTCAGAGCCTGTACTTTTTCACTTTTACTTGGGTAAAGAAGTTGAATCAGTACTTCTACTTGAGTAAATAATGTGTGCCATCATTAAGTTCTTGGCCAACATTTGCATTACTCTCTTCTCTGGTCTCTGAAAGCTTGTCACCTCCATCACTGCCAACACAGAGGAGATTGGTGCGGTTCAGCAGTCAACACAGACAGCCGAGGAATGTGAGGAATGTGGAGAAAATCATTTGCAGTGAGCTTATAGCTCTTAACATTTTCACATCTGTGCACACCTGGACAGAAAAAGGGTGTGACTGTCGGTCCATCAGTTACAGAAATATACCTATTGCAACGGTCGAACGCAGCTATTGAATACGTTTCTAACTGCAAAACCAAAACTTTGTCACTTATTTCTGAGTATATGTCAGTCTTCAGCAAAGCACTGCAACATTATGTTATCTCATTAGCAGCAGTGAGTTTCTTTGGACTGTTTGTTGTAGGCATCCATAGCTGACTGGTTTGTGCTTTTGAGCTGCAGTGGACAGGAATCAAAGAATGTCACGGCTCAGTAAGATGAGAGAAGCACACAGGAAGTGGGTGTGCGGGGCCTTTAACAGCCTTTCTCTGGGTGGAATGGGGCCCATGTCAACTCTAAAAGTCTGCTTCTTTGATAAAAGAAACACACGGTACCTCTGTGGAAACCTTAGGTGAGGAAAGATAATGAAAAAAGCGCCAGTTAAGGTGGAGCCCATGCATTTGGTTTGCAGCCATACTGAAATGTATTAGATGCGCTTGGCCTGTAAGTGGTAAACATCCTGTTGACAGCATAGTGCAGAGTTGGGTTACTTGCTTCACTAGAAGGTTAAGACGTCAAAGGATTACTCCGAGATATTTATGATTCTTCTTTGCAGCCACGCCCCTTAAAATGTGCAAAATCTGGAAACCATTTCAGCTGGCTGGCTCTGGCTGCCGCACTCGCCCTGCTTTAGAAAGATGATGTCAGATTTTATCATGTGTTGCTAATATTTCAGATCCAATGATTGTGGAGCCGTTGTCATGACAAAAGGCCTCTTCAGTTGAAGCTGAGCTAAACGTTCTTCTGAAGAACTTTGAACTTTGTTCTTGTTAGCTGGAATCTGAGGCATTTTTAGCTTTAGATAACTGAAATAAATGCCGTCGGTACACTTTTGATGTCTTATTGTATGTTGGGTTTCTCTGCAAACCAACTTGCCATTAAATTGGTATCCTGGGTGAAAATCATCTGTCCTTTGTAGCGTTTTAAAAGTTGCAAGTTTAACACCGTTCACCCTTTAACCCAGTGTCACATTTTAATGACCCCTTGCCAATTAAGTAGCTGAACCTGGTTACTGTATAGAGATTGCCCAAGTGACAGTGTGCTGACAGTAAATGGGTGTACGGTGGGAAGAGCCTGGGCTAAATAAGGAGGGCATTGTTTCTCCAGTGGGGCTGTGGAACCAAAGGTCAGGAAGTCAGGCTGTATTGTTCGCTCAGCTCTGCTTGGCTGCAGTCATCTCCGTCTCTCTCTGTCTCTGTCTGTGCAGAGGAGCGGCTGTTGGACCCTCATTTGAAGGGCCAGTGAGCAGCTGCCCAGGGATGTTTGCATCCAGAATGTGTTTTTGGAAACAGTGTGTAGCACAGGAAGTGAGTGTATGTCTTTACAGTTACAGTTTAATCGTGATTAAATGGAGGGAAAAAGTCTGCTTTCATAATAACTTTGGACAGAGGAACCTTTGATAGTTGCAGAGGCTTATATAAAAGATTTATATTTGGTCTTTGAAGGCGGAAACAGATATTTTTAGTTCTAAATTCTAACCAGGATTTCATCCCATGATTCAATATCCTTAACTCTTATTTTGTTGCTTATCATTAAAGGAAAAGTTCATCATTTTAACAAGAAATAAGCCATTAAGTTACCCGGCTAAAAAGGTGATTTGTCCATTTACATGATCAGTTATTGAGCTTTAAAGGAGCTACTCTGTAGATTTTTGTCATCCTTGGAAAGAGTCTGGCTAGGTGTTTCCCTCTCTTTCCAGTCTTTGTGCTAGCTGGCTACTGGGTGTAGCTTCATGTTCAGTGTACAGACATGAGAGGGGTATCAACGTTCTTATCTTACTCTTGGAAAGACAGCAAATAAGTGTATTTCCCAAAATGTCCCAAAAATTACGAAGCATTAGCATCAGCAGGCTACTTACCACATATTTAGTCATCTTCACATTCTTATTGAGAACATTAATTGGGAAGTAATTTGGACTCACTATAACAAATACTTCGTTAACCATAAAGTTGTGTATTTTAAAATTATACCTGTAATCTTTCCAAAAACACTTCCTACTTTCTTTGAATGCATTTATGATGAATTCTTCTGGATCGATGTTGAACATGTAAGATTCATTTATAGAAAAGTAACGTTATGTTAAGTGTAGTTTTTTCAAATGAGGACTTTTAAGAGGGTTCTGTGTAACAAACACAATGATAGAAATACAATAAGTGGCATCAAGCCACCAAAATGTGTGAAACGTAAGAAAGACTTGACCACCACCGCACAGATGTGTGATTAAATTACATACAATGACGATTCATATTTGGCTGCCATACCAAATTCTGGAGTTCAGGGCAATACCTATTAATAGGGAATTGTGACATACGACAAATTTGCTGAGGCACAATAATAAGTATTTGTGTTTGGGGGCGCTATATCCCTTTTTGGGATTATAAAAGGTTTAAGTTCAGTTCACTAAATCCTACACACCAAGTTTATTGTAGCTAACTAAAACCTAAAACTATAGGTGTGAAAAATATTTTGGATAACTGAAATAAAAATATGAAGTAGTCAAAAATGACATCTAGCTAAAATAAAATAGACAGGAAGTGTAAATTTGGTCAAATCTGTCAACATTATATGGTACAAAAGTTTTCTTAATATCTATTCTGCACCTAAATACTCCCCATATTATACATAAAAAAGCAATTAAAAAACTGCTCTGGAAACTAACTGAAACTAAACTGTATTGGGAAAAACATTCAAAAATAAATTCAAATAAAACCTAATGAAAAATACAAAACTATGATAACTCTGCTACACAGTGAACCTTTAAGTGATCTATATCCTTAATGGATTATTTTGCACACGTATGGCTCACAGGTAGTCTACATTTGATTGAGTAAGGAGTGGTATGAAAGATAGACAGACAGACAGATAGATAGATAGATAGATAGATAGATAGATAGATAGATAGATAGATAGATAGATAGATAGATAGATAGATAGATAGATGCTGTTATTTCTAATTAGAGACATTTAGAGGCAGTTTTGACTGCCCATTAAAGAAGCAGTGAGAAAAGTACACAACTTACTCACAATGCAACACTGACTATAACTGCACAGATGACAGTCATCAAACTCATTGTTGGGTTGCTAGCAAGCTCCTGGGAACTTGAGAATCCATTTGACAAGACAACCCGGCATCACAAAGTTTACTACCCACACGGCACGGTCTTTCTGACTCTTGCTCAGCTGTGTTTAGAACTGAAGTTGGGAATATTTTGCTGTTGCATTTCATGTTTGTCTGCCAGCCCACCTGCTGCTGTCATTCACCCTTTGTGAAACATAATGCCAGTTTACAGCTTTACATGCAGTCAACTTGACCACAGCCAGAACTGAAGCTCAGCCGCTCTCTCTGGTGGAGAAGAGTGTGTATTGGTAGATAATCATCTACGAAAGCAGTGCTGCGTGTGAAATAGCTGCTGGGGAGTACAATTTCTGTGAATATGTGTGAGGAAATCTAGTTCAAAGGCTGTGCGTACTCTGAACAGGGGGCTTGATGTACAGGAGATATCTGCAGAGCCATGTAGGAACATAGAAAACCAATCGTTTGCTCTTTGGCCTCCAGTTATTTATATCTAATCATATTTATTTTGGAGAGAAAGGCTGCAGAAGCATTACAGCTTCATATACAGTAACTGTGACCTAACTGTCATAATACTCCAACAACAGTGTGTCTGTCAAAGTAACCCTTCAGATAAAGATGCAAAAGTCAAAAAGTCAAATATTTAAAGGACCATTGAAGTTGCAGATTTCAACTAACCGAATACCGCTTGTGTTTGTCTGTCCTGGGCTTCCGTAGAAACGTGGTTCAACCCTCCTGGAGACAACTGATTTCACAAGATAATGAAAAGTATCAAGTTAACAGAGGAGTCTTTGAAACATAGGAGGCTTAAGCTGCCTTCACATCCCGAATTCCTCTGATACTGCCTAAAATGTAATATTAGTTATCAGCGACTATGTGCAAACCGATCTTATATCACATTATTCATTTTTTTTACCTCATCTGCCTGCATGTTACATACAGTTGTTGTCTCATTAGTTTTGCTTTGAAAGGTCACCGGCAACCAAGTTTAAATAATTTGAACTGAGCGCAGAGCTCGGTGGTGCCTCTGCCTCGTCACGGCTCTCCCCATAGGAAAACAATGGCACAGCCAGCGCAGAGCGGTTGATCATGTGTGGGGGCTTTAAACGCTGTGGATTTCAGTCCAGGCATTAATGTGCTGTTTTGCTTTGGTAACAGCTGGGCTTCACCCTGATACTGTGGGGGTCCGATACAAATTAAACCCGGCGGGAGAGGGAGAGAGAGAGACAGAGAGAGAAAGCTGTGGGTTTGTTAGTGTGGAGTAATTGACCACATGGTATCCAATGGGCTTGGTGTTGCTGTGTTCTCCAGGATGAACGTCTCATGGGGGTATGAAAGTAGGGGAGAGAATGAATGAGGAAAGAGAGAAAAGAGAAGGAGGGGGATGAGGATTTGGAGTGGTCTATTGTTTATCCTGATGGTTTCCAGATGATGGCAGAGGGAGTCAGCCAACCTCCTGGGCCTCTCTCACCAGGCTACAAGGATCTGGGCCAAGCTTATCTGCTGCAGCCTTGAAATCTGGCTTTACATTGCTCTGTCCACTCTGGGGCTGATTTAACTTGCACAACTGAAGTTATGGCTATTGGATGAGGATGAGTTGTAATGGACATAATGAATACATTTTAGAGCCATTTATTTTAAAACAAAACTCTTTTGTTACAGGCTGCAAAGATCTTGATGAAATATGAATCTGTTTTGAAGATATTGTGCTCTTTGTGAGGTTTTTACTGCCAGACAAATAAAAGGGGGCCATCAATGGAGCTTGGACCAACTAAAACATCACGTCTTCACAGCCTGGTCAACCACTTTGGTCCAAACTGAAACATCTCAACAACTATTGACATTCAATTTGGGAATGCCATTCATGGTCCACAAGGGATTTATTCTAATGACTGGTTGTTGGTACCATGAAATTCAAATTTGTGGTTAAGAGTGAAATGTCCCAACAACTATTAGATAGATTGGCATAAAATGTGGTAGGCTACAGACATTCACGTCCCCTTAGGATGAATTCTTATAACTTTGGTAGTCCCTTAACTTTTCATGTAGCCCCACCATCAGGTCAAAAATTTATTTTCTTTTACACTTTGTGTTAAAACCAAATATATGAACATGATACACATTCTAATTGCTACACATCAGTATATTAGCATTGCCATTGTGAGCACGCTAGCATAATGAGGTGTATAATGGAACATGGTTCTTTGCATTGAACATCATTTTGATTACTTTACACATTAGCTATATTGTGATACAGGTATTGGAAAATAATTCTCACTAGAATTGAGATATTGATCTCGGCCATATATATATATATTATATATTCTGATATTAGAGAGGTTTTTGTGGTGCCCCTGTCCCAAATATTGTTCAGATAATACATATTAAAAATGATTCGGGTGCCCGGTTAGCTCAGTAGGTAGAGCTGGCAACCCATGTACAGAGGCTGAGTCCTTGCTGCAGCGGCCCAGGGTTAGAGTCCGACCTGCGGCCCTTTGCTGCGTGTCATCCCCTCTTCTGTCCCCCTTTCCTGTCTATCTTCAGCTGTCTCTATCATAAAGGCAATAAAAAGCCCAAAAAATACTTAAAAAAAAAAAAAGAACTATGAACTATCCAATTGCATCTTCAAGACAGACAGGAGAATACTCCTAGGTATGTTAAATAAACATGTTTCATGCGAGCATAATGCTTGATAATGGATTTGTGCATTCACTCAAACTTTCCTGCTTACATAAGAGTGTCCATTCAATGTCGGGTCACAAGTGTGATTTTCATTTGTCAGTTGTCAGTGTCACATCTTTGATGGGACCGGTGGAAACTCCGGACTGTGCCATGGCCTTTGCTGCTCTGGGCTCCAGACTTTAGGTAGAGTTTGTTTTGCTTGGTCTGTAGAGTGAAAGCTGTTTCCTCCCTCAGGAAGATGATGCTCCGTCTGCTCTCCCTGTAGGCGCTTGAGAAAGAGGGCTGCCATGAAAAGTGACCTCCCACAGTGCCTCGTTGTGGCTGAATGATGCAAACACAGGCCTAAGAAATGCTTCACAGTGGTCTTAACAGTTAGAGGCTTGGCTGTTGGAACCTTAAACGTGTTTTGTGAGACAGATGTAGTCCTGGAAATGAATAAAATTATCTTTAAAAAGTTTTGAACCTGACATATGTTCCTTCTGTGAAATCAAAACAAGATTGGACATGCACTCCTTTGGTGGTGCAGATTCAGTCTTAATTTTGACTTGCCCTACTTTTCTCTTAATTTAAACCAGTCTTGTCGAGATGATTTCTCTGTGATGGGTTTAGGATTTTGTCATGTTATACAAGTGCAGAGTTCATCTGGGTTTTATTTCCTCCCTGCTAAGATCTTTGTGTCCTGATTGGTGGGTCGGAGCCAGCTGGGAGGGATGACTGAGAGCCTGAGGTATTTGTCCTATAGCAAGGAGGCCTCTCTCATTGGTCCCCCCACAGGCCGGGGCCTCCTTTATGGTCCCTCGGGAACACAGCTGGAGGGAGGGAGTTCGTTTTCTAATGGGAAAGCTGAGACTCCTTCTTTTCTGTCCAACTATAAATTACACTTAACCATTACAATATATCCCAACTTCCTTGAAATAAACCATTAAAACATTTCTGTTTTTCTTCTACAGCACAAGGAGTGCTACAAGAGATTTCTACACTCTCCTTTTTATGGTTAAGATAAGATAAGAAAGGCTTCTTTGACATGTAAAGCTCAGTCTTCCAGGGCTGTAAGTATTAATCAAGCATCAAAGCAAATGAGCTTTTTAACTTGTTTTGGCAGACACCATAAATAATCATCTCATTCCTGAACTACTCCAGAAACTCTTGACCACTAACAGGGCTGCTATCACTTCCCGTTCTAATCACGCAGAGTTTTGAATTGGCTGCTGCCCAAAGAACCAAAATAGGTCAGTCAGTCTCCTCCAGTGAAAGGTGGTGAGAGGCAAAAGCCAAAATGTTTACACAATGGAGGTTAACACATTGAGAAATGTCAAGTTTTTAAAGCATTTAAGTAACACAGTAAGCTTCAAGTGGGTTGCACGCAAGGTCAGCGTGTAAAAAAGTTTTGTCTGCTGTATATTTCTCTTCAGGCTCGACCCAAAGGTGAAGGCCTGACGCCCTATCAGGGAAAAAAGAGGTGCTTTGGTGAATATAAATGCCCTAAATGCAAGAGGAAGTGGATGAGTGGGAACTCCTGGGCCAACATGGGACAAGAATGTATCAAGTGCCACATCAACGTTTACCCTCATAAGCAGGTAACAGTTGGTCTGAATGGCAGACTGAAGGAATCAGAAAACAGTTTAAGTCCATACAGACTCAAAAACATTTGAATGGGGTCTACTCACTGTTTCATATTCAACATATACAGTCAAATCCTCACAGGAAAACATTACCATACCTCAAACAACATGCTTTGTGATTGCACATTGTCACAGTATATTTCCTTGTAGTTTGACCCTTAAGGCCAAAAGCTGCTTTATGTTTTCTCTACAACCCAAACAAACCAATTTAACTGTGGAAATCAAACCATGTGTAACTGGTATATAAGCATACTGTTGCAAGTAACATGTTTTTATCTACAAAAATACTTGAACATGCATTTTAACATACACTATAACGTTTGATTTTATTAGTATTTTATGTAGCTGTTGTTGTTATGATAACCAGATTGGTAGACTGAAACTTTCATTCTGAGATTTCTTGCAATTTATTAGTTACTTCTGCCAAGGCTAACACTCTCTGTCCCATTTGTTAGTCTGTTATTTAGAGAGCAGGATATCTTTACAAGACTTCATTGAAGTTTGGTGGTGAGTTATGCAATGGGCCAAAAGAACAAGTGGTTAATTTATGGAGCAAATAGTGCCACCATGTGTCAATTTATAACGAATCACGAGCTGCAAAGGCAAACATTTTTGGAAGTATAAGTTTTTGGATGTATAAAACCTCTTAAAGCCAACTGGACTGCCCGCTTATGCAAGTTCTAATAGTTAGATCGCCTACACAAATATAAATGTTTAAACTTTTGTCAATATGGACATGCTACACATCGTTAGATCAGTTACATTCTCCACAATTCACAATTCACACAATTCCACAATCAACAAAGAATCAACCAAATTAATAATTTGTAACTGTAATATTCATACTATATAAATGGTTATAGAAGTGGTTTTTTTTTAAATATGTAAATTTTAGCTCCCTACATAATGTTCACTGTTTTAAACACCATTTTAAAGAATTTCCTGCACAGCCAAGAATATGATTCTGGTGTAAAAACAGAAAATCTCTTTATCTATTTATTATTTTATCTAAATATTATTTTATTTACTTTATTCTTAACCAGACATAGACACATGTTGAGTCAAAAAAATTTAATAATCCGACTTTAATCATGCATAATTTGTGTGTAATTGTAGAATGTAATAATGTAACAATAGCTTGGAGTGGTACTAATAGTAACAGTATTGATCTGTTTCTTTGTTCCAGCGACCTCTGGAGAAACCAGACGGGTTAGATGTGTCAGACCAGAGCAAAGAACATCCGCAACACCTGTGTGAAAAATGCAAAGTCCTCGGCTACTACTGCCGCCGTGTGCAATAACTCCTCCAACGTTTTATCAAAAAGGGACAATTAAGTTAATGTAGTTATTTTAATTACTAAAAATACACGATAATAAGCTTTATTGTGCTGTATGCATCTAACGGTTTATTATCAAGAAACATTCTCTCTGACACTGTGACTGTCAGTATAAGAGGTTCATTTTTCTACAGTATCATTCAGTGGAGAAAAGTACTTTGCATTTTTTTTTTGGGGTTCTTGTAACTTACTCAGATATCATTATGTGAATATTCATCTTAAGTCTGAACTATGAACCTTAAAGAGCCCCTCCAGACACGTATTAAGACATAATACAAATGTCTGCTTGGAACAGTAATGTGTATCTGATGTGCTTTTTCCATAAAAGTAATTTAAGTAAGTAATTTCCACATTAAAATCCTTTAAAAGGCCTCTACCTCATAAAAAAATCCCAGAATCTATGAATATGCATGTAGGCTATGAATATGAATATTTTCCTGCTGGATACAAGATCTCTCCTACTCCATTCTCAGTGTGTTTGCACTGGTGGCTTCAAGTTTCTACATCACATTTGTGTAAGTTGTATTCTGGACCTAAGGCCTGTTCCATAATACCATACCTACCATACATAACAAATAAGCCAAACTTATTTCGGTTAATCTGACTCATTTTCACTTGATTCGGTTCCATAAAGCAAATTCAACATAGTTCAAGCTCAGTTACTATGGTAATTTATGCAGGGAAATTAACCCTGTACGTTGCAAGCTACCTATGGAATTATTATAGTGCCAACACAAATTGAATCTGAATTTAATTTAAAATTTAAAAATATTGTATGCAAAATCTGAAATTGTGTTTCACAGATTGAAATTGAATCTTATGGTTTGAAACGGAATTTAACTCGTATTGTTTTCCCATTCTGTCATGGCTGAAAAAACACCTGCAACTCACAGGTAAGTGTGTGCGCTTATCAATGTATTTAGCATTTCTTTATGCTGAAATAAAGCCTTTCTTAGGTCTGATGACATGTAAAAGATGTGGTTACTGTGAGAGCTTCATCTTTACTTGTCTGAGTGTGAGCTCACATCTGCTGCAAAAGATTGTCTTTTGCTTTGTTAATGGCAGAGCTTCTGTTTTATTTATCTATAATATGCATGATATCTTTCACAATTCATTTTATTGTGAGTTGATGTAATATATTTGGTCTGTGTTTCAAAGTCAGTTCTTAAAACCAGACTTCATTTCTTGTGATTTGATTATCTCTGCATTGGCTTTATATATTTTTTTTTAACAGTTTAAGCCTGGTTCAATTTGTTAGGATAATTCAAGCCAGGCTTTTTTACAATAAGACCTGCTTTTTTCAGCCAATTCTCTGGAACAGGCCCCAGGACTGATTTTCAAACTGTTTGGGATGTCAGAAATCGTGCTTGTAGGCCCTGCCCCTCAAAATCAGATTTTCAGTGAACACAGAGAAACTTTCTACTTTCAGCAGATGAATGTGAAAACATGCTTCTAGTATATAACTCTGCATATCATCACAAGTCATTCTAAACAGTGAAGCTGAAACATCCAACTGTAGAAAAAAGAAACAGATTTTTGACTGGAGGGGGACTTTAACAATCTTACCAACTGTGAATTAAGAGACTTTATGAAACAAAATTCATGTTAAAAGTTTCCAGATGAAGGATTCTCTTTTACATGTTTGTATATTCCAGAAATAACTTAAATGAAATGATGTTTTCTGTATAAAATATGCAACAAGTCTTTACTAAGAGGGATATGCAGTATTAATGTGTATCTGCATTATTATCTGTACTGCAGGGTACATAATTTTGGAATATATTTTTAAGCCATTACTTGTTGATTATTATTACACTTTGTGATGGAATATATTAGCCTACTAACATCTATTCTTTATATGCTATGTGCCTGTATTTCTGAGGACATATTTTAGGTAGTTTGTCGCTCCAAAGTCTTATAAAACTGTACACCAACACAATATGGTAGAACATTTTATTTTCTGAAAAATAGAATAAATTACAGCATTAGTCATATTTTGGCACCCAGTGCCAAGAAAGACTCACAGTGCTTTTTATGGGTCATAGGTTGTAATGTCTTATATGTAACATGAGACAAAAAGGAATAAAAATCTGAATGTACCAAAGATCATGAAGGATTAAGTGAAAGTTGCATGTGCATGTTGCTTTAGAGGCTTTTTGTATTTCAATTGTAATTCAAAATTGTGATGATAAATGAATACTGAACAGAAATGCTCTTTGACTTTTAACTGTTTAAGATGTGTGAAATGCCATTTAATGTGCCTTAGTTTGAGTGCCCCATGAGATTGATCCCTTGATACCCTAAAATGTTTTTGTATTAAAATATATTTAAACATGCTATTCAGTGTGTTCAAGTTTCTCCACTGATCTGTTCTCTTTGTTGTCTCTTGTAACAATTCAAGCACATAGCAATATAGTTTTTAATTCATCCATGTGGCAGTTTGGATTTGGGAGTTTATAGTTGACAACTGATAATACCGCATCCAGATGTTCCACATTTTATCTCCCCACAACATAAAACACAATTTCTCTTAATATTTTTAGAGCATCTGGTAAAATTTACTTATAGCAAAGCAAAAACAGATTTTACTTCATCACCCTCTCATATACCACTGCTGGCAGAACCTAAAGTACGCTGTGTACTATAGCAAATCCAAGCTGACCCCAAAAACGAAACATTTCCCCGGACAGGCCGCAGGAGAATAAATACTTATTGGAATAAGATCATTAGTCAGCTGAGGCTGATGAGGAAAACAGGAGGAGGTGGGAAGAATGACACAACACTGATGTCATTCCTCAGCTGGTGATAAAACATTCGCGTTTTCCCAGTAAATGGGCACGCCTTCGCCTTTTATTTCAGCCAGTTGTTCAAGTGTAAAACTTTTCCTTAAAAGGACCAGTGTGAAGGATTTAGTGGGATCTAGCGTAGAAGTTGCAGATTAAAGCGAACTGAATATCGCTCGCCTTCCAAGCTTGTAGGAGAAACTATGTGACAAATTCAGTGTTTGGTTTGTCGGTTCTGGGCTACTGTAGAAACATGGCGTTTCAACATGGCTGACTCTGTGGAAGAGGACCCGCTCCCTCTGTAGATACAAAATTAGAATAAATAATTCTAAAGGTAACGAAGACGCAATGATTCTTATATTCAGGTGATTATACACTAATAAAAATAATACCTTAGAATATTATATTCTATTTCTACCAATAGTTCCTCCTAAATGTTACACATTGGACCTTTAAAGCAGCTATAATGCATATTTTACACCAACAGTGTTTGAAATGACAATGTGAAAGGGTCACTCATAGTGATGAACCTACAGAGAACCCTCACCTCAATCTCTTCTCTGCAAGTTTCACTTCATTGTCGGGCTGTCTGGACTGCAATTTTATGGTTTTGATTCGTTCTCACAGCTCTCATAGTATCGGTTTCAGCAGGCAGCTGTTTTCGGTGAAAAAGCTCTAAAAAAAACCCACAGCACACTACCTGCTCAGCACCAGACAGCCGACACACACATCGAGCAGCTAGCTGATGCCAGATATTCCCCTCAGGAGTTGGAGAGCAAAATCACAGCACAGATAAAAGTGCTGATGGTGGCCATTAACATCACTCCAATGAAAATGTTGCTCCACAACTGTAAATAGGAAACTGTTTGCTAACAAGTTTCTCACATGAACTTAAATAGTGTTATGTCAACTTTGTATTCACAACTTGTTTCTGCTGCCAAGTGGCCAAAAATCAGTTACTGCAGTTTTAAAAAGGATGTAATATTGACATTTAAGTTCATGTAAACAGCACGAACAAGCTCACATATTTAGAAAAAAATGACTTTATTTTAAGCAAATAAATGCCCCCTTTTTCAAACCAGTTTCAATGTATGTTAATGAATGAATAGCTCTTACAAATACAATAGTATCCGTCATCCTATTGCCTCTTTATCTATAATACAAGTTCACATTTTATAGCATGACACAGTTAAATGATACTTGAAGGAGGACCAACTCAGAGTGTGACTCTTGAAATAATGAGCAAAGAGAGGTAGCGCTCTGTGCCCTGACTGAAGAAAGAGACTCTTTCACTCGGACTCTCACATTGAAATTACAGCAGGAGATGAGACTACGACCGTGTCCACCGCTCACATGGGAGTCTACTGGAGCTCTCCGCAGTCTGTGATAGTGATCTTCTTGGAGGTTCGCCCAGACTTTGAACCGAAAGACTCCACTTTCTTGACCACGTCCAGTCCCTCCTTCACGCTGCCAAAGACAACATGCCTGCCATCCAGCCTAAATGAAGAGAGGAGGTTTATTATCACTGCCCCCGGACAGTGAGACAATCCATGGTGCCCCCCTACTGGGTTTGACTCATGGCTTTTTGTCGGGTGATGCCACTGTTTTTGCAATGATTCTGCTATATTAGGCCATCGTTCAAATCTTCACATTATTTTTGCTGCCATGCCAAAACACTGCAAGAATTCACTGCTTCCACCGAGAAATGTATTCTCAGCGGGGTGGGGAAAAAAATCTCTGAAACAGCATTTCAACAATAACCGAACACTACTGAACCCATGTTAAAAAGGTAGAATAACAAAAGCCTTCCAAAGGTAGCAGAGTTTTAAGGTTGGATGGTATATCAGAGCTATTTACCCAGCTGGATATTCTGGGACAGATTACCATTTTAAAGTGAGTGTTATTTATTAAAAGATACTTGCTGATGGAGATTCTGGTGGTGAGCTTGAGAGCTTTTCTGTTTGGATCCTGGGTAAGCTGTTGAGAATGGCTGCGCACTCTGCACTATAATTAAAATATGTAAATAGGCAACAATACTCAACCTTAAAAAGTAGAACATTGTCCCAGAGTAGCTACTCTCCATTTCCATGCCGTGTTGGATTCACCAAACTAACATTTTACTGAATGTTTCCAAGTTTGCGGTGCGCTGCTGTACACTGTCACCACAAGCACAAACAGCATTTAGGCAAAATTCTTAGTTATTTGCTGTTGTTTGTAATGTTTTTTTTTATCTTATTTTGCATAGGTTGCTTGGTGAAACTGACACTGGGTAAAAACGGAGATGATAATTCTGCATACTTTAAGCATTGATGGATCTGTTTTTGGTCAGTTTTGCTCATTGTGCAGGGTCTTTAACAAATTATCTGAGCTCTGTTCAGATGTCTCTTAGGCCAGCCAGAAACATACTTTAAATAAGAACTCAATAATTCTGTGTTTGTCAGCACATACCATTCTGTTTTAGATGTGCAGATGAAGAACTGGGATCCATTGGTGTTGGGTCCAGCATTGGCCATGGACAAGATGCCTATAATGCAAAAATTAAAACATTACTAAAGTTATAAGTAACAGCAGCTCTTCTCCTACAATGACAACACAAAACATCTGCTGTGAAAAGGCCTGTTTAACAAAACATCATGCAAAACTGGTCGTTTAAACACTGTGCATAATGCTGCCACCTGGTGGTGAAAATGTGTAAGACAGATCATGTTACAACAAAGTATGCATTATGTTCATAATAGGGCACCTACAGCAGCCATGACTTTCATATGATCCTCAACATTTAAGAGAGAAACTAAAAGAAGCATACCATCCTTTGTCCATCCAGCTGCATCCAGCTGCTTAACAAGCTCTGATCAAAGGGTATGAATTTAGGATTGTCATGCTTTTTAAGATGACGATGTCTTTATGATATTAATGTTTTTAAGTCACACTATGTGCTGTCATGTATGGTTGCTGATGTTATTTTTGACATCTTCAATGCTCTTTGTGCAAAGCTAATTCCCTAGGAGCAAGAAAACCACCAATACAGCAGCTTCTTAAGTGCAGTGTTTGATGCATTCGCACTGTCCTGTGTAGTGTCACACTGTCCTCTGCGTCCCACTGTGCTCTTAAATCTCATTATACTCTGTAGTGATTGTAGTCACTGATGCAGTTTGTGCAGCCCTGTCCTGTTTGTTGCACCAAAGGAAAAACAAAAAGGTTTTTGTTGCATGGATACAAACTGAGTTGTCCTGAATTTATGAAACAAAATGGGAAATTCATTCTGCAACATTCCTGTGACATGATCCGCTTCTAAAATGTACTGACTCTCCCCACACATCTGGAATATACCTAAAATCTGCTACTCCTCCAACTGAACGAGCATTTAAAAGCTTTGCACAAACAGAACAGGATGATTACCAGGTCCGGTGTGCTTCAGTTTGAAGTTCTCATCAGGAAACTTCCATCCGTAGATAGACTTGCCTCCAGTTCCATTGTGGTTAGTGAAATCTCCACCCTGAAAATCACCCATATCACTGTAATTACACTGTAACAGAGTGCTGGACAACAAAAGAGACACAAAAGCAAAGCCCACCTGGCACATGAACTGAGGGATCACCCTGTGGAAAATTGATCCCTTGTAACCAAAGCCGTGTTCCCCTGTGCACAGCGCTCGGAAGTTCTCTACGAGAAAGATGACAATCCATACAGGTCAGCGGTTTCACAGAGTATTATGCAGTGACAACAGGGAATCCCAGCAAAAAAAAAAGATATCTAAATGTATGACTGGCTGCCTCAATAATCAACTAATCTATACTTGGGCACTATTTGCTTCTTGTAGGTTTTTTGTTTTTGTTTTTTTTAGGGCTGAGTATTCAATACCATTTTGAACAGGTCAAAATGTGTCCATATGAACCAGGAAGTATTGAAAGGTGACATTAAATCATGGTTACCACTCTCAAAAAACATGACAGCAGTTGCTCACAAACAGTAAATTTTTACCAGTAGGCCTACTATGGACAAATATAACGCCTGCAAATTGACACTTTACCACAGTTTTTCTCTCACAATTCGGCCACAGACCGAAAGTAACAGTTCAAATCAAACAGACTTTCCAGGACAACGTAGATTATTTCCAAGATGTTTGGTAATTTTAATCAATTTCCAGGCGTTTCCCTGACTGGAAAACTAGCCTCTAAATTTCCAGGTTTTCCAGGATGTATAGGAACCCTGTGAATGTCGGGTGAGATTCAAAATCTTGATTCCGTTCTTTGATCAGAAAGTTCATAATTAAAATCAATACAAAAAGGACTTTATTTTTTGTGTTCAAACCAAATCTAACATTTGAGAGCTTTGGCTTCTTTTGTGAAAGGAAAGGCATTTTATAGAAAAATATCTTAAAATAAGACATTATTTGTGACATGTGATCATGTCTGGTATCATAAGAAAATTCCCAAATGCTGTGGTTTTAATTAAGAAATCTTTCTGCATGACTAAATAAATACACTGAATAACAGTGACAGACTCAATTAAACTCAAATAATCAGTCAGTCAAAGAAATCCTGAGACTATGAAGAGTCTCTTTACTTCAGTCATTCTGCCACTTAGCTACTTAATCTCAGATTAAGGTTCCTGAGGTCTGATAAAATAAGGATCTGCTTCTAACTTCTAACGTTATATCTGTTTGGTGGAGACTGAAAGGCTTACACAGGGGTGGAACAGACAAGAACAGACTTGCATTCAAGCTCACTTAAATGAAAATATGCAAGTATCAGCAAAATTAATGTTAATACTGCATTCATGGGTATGTTGCATTTTACTGCTGTAGATGTTTCAGCTTGAGCTACTTTGAACTACTTTATATAGTGTTAGGTAGTTTAATGTACAGCAATGCAATACGGTCATCACATCTGTAGCATTATTATTATTATCATCTCTAAAAAGGGACAACTTTTCATGAGCAAATAACAGCCCTGTTTGCAGCTTTTCACAATGCAAGCCAGCTAATCCAAGAGGGGTTTTAAATGGTTTATTTTGCTAAGAAGTAGGGGAATTTTCTCAACCCATAACCCATTTTTTTTTTCCAGGAAAAAAAAAAAGAAACCCCCCCCCCACCAAATTTGGGTATACATGGTTTTTACAGCACAGGAATGTATAAAAATAGTATATCAATAGTGTGTATAGCATCCTATAACTGTCTGACAAATGTAGAAGGTATATTTGGTATAATTGCATAAAATGCAAATACTTCAGAATAAAAGCACATAAAAAACAGTCATTGGTTACCTGCAGTTTTTGGCACAACATCGGTGTTGAGCTGCAAAAGAAAGAAAGAAAGAAAGAAAGAAAGCCTCAGGGTCAAACGTTGAACAAGTTATAACCCAACGAGTGTCAGTGAACCTCTCTGAAATCAACCTCACTGCAAGGACACAGGAACTGTAGCTGTACATTCAACCAAAAGCAAACATTAACAAACTGAAAGTAAAAAAAAAAAACAAAAAAAATGTGGCTGCTGCTTTTTTTTAATCCTCTCACCTCAAAGGTTACCCTGCCGAGAGGCTGGTTGTCTGCAGCGATATCAAAGTAAACCGTGGGGTTCTTGTTGGCTGCTGCGGGGCCGCTGCTGTACATGCGGGCGGCGGTAAACGCCAGAGAGCACAGCTTTATTCTGTTTGTTAAGAGCAACATTTCTACGGGATAATGCGGCTCGGTTCGTCCCCTCGGGTCAGCACTCCGCTAAAGTCACGCTTACATGTGAGAGACGAGGAAGTTTATCTAACACAACCGGAAGTACACGCTCTGACAGCGGCGACCGCTAACATCTCGCGAGATTAAACGTGATTACAACAATAACAAATCACAAATGTATTTATTTATTTAATTTATACATTTTATTGTACCTACACATGATTGTCTTTTATTTCCCTTATAAAATTGTTGTTTATTAAGATTTTTACGAATGTGTTCAACATGTAATTAGCAAACCATCTATATTCCTTTTAAATTGCATTTGCTTAGTTTTGCATATTACTGTAGGCTGTATATATATATATATATATATATATAAGTATACCTTCTCACTTTGTGTCTCACACTGTGGGCGGCAGCAGGCTCCTTCTGACATAAACTATGTGCCCATATTGTGGGAGTTCAGGAGTTGTACGCTGTCATTCCTTTTTGCATCAATGGTATTAAAATAGTTTGTTCAGATATAAGATTATGAGTGAAAAATGTAGAGCGAGTTTTTCTTGGGTAGGTGATGTTGGTGTCAGCATCTAATCTTGTGTGGCTCCACTGAGTCCTGCTGAAAATGCCTGAGAAGCACAAAACATTGTGTAATGTATTTTCTCTCTTCATTTCCGTCTCGACAGATTGCATAATAACTGCCCAATGCCTCACCATTCCCATGAGCAGCTTTACAAACTTTGTTGCACTTATTCTGTTGCGTTAATTAACGCGGGCTCATATCATTTCCACATATTGGCAAACTGACCTCAAGCTATGTTAATCTAAATTTGACACCCACAATTTACACTTTCTGGTTGGATAAACAGCCTGTTGGAGTTAGGCAGGCCTAATTGTCAGACTATGATGCAAGTGCACAAAAGACAAGACCACAGCGGCATACAGGTATCATCTGAATACATATTTATTAGATAAATATTAGGTTGTCACATCATCTAACTACATACAGTTCTGCAAGACTAAAAATCACAATTAGTTCCTTTATTTTCTGACCAGTTTAGAATATGAAATGATTGTACATACAATGTACACAATAGAGACAATGGCCACATTGCATGAATCACCTTAGATTGTATCATTTTTCCAACTGCTCATGATATCAAAAATTGTACAAACTATGGATTCGGTTACAATCTTCTGGACCCGCTCCTCCCACCGCCTTTCTCCCACCCCTCCAAACAAAAATTTTCTTTGTAACCTTGTTTTTTTTTTTTTTCTTCCTTTTTTAGCTTTAGCACCTCAGAGTATGCAGGTGACAGACTAGAACACTTAGGCTAAATATTACATGTAAAACATAGCTGTCCCAGTTCCCCTAACAAAAGAGGTGAAAGTATATTACAGCGGGGGAACAAAATGCTGAGAGATACCCACAGACACTAACTAACAAGTTTCATTTTCCATATTCAGCCACTTCCAGTAGAGGGGTTGCAAGCTTTTTATTATTCTGAAGAAACAATGCACATTCCCAGGGAAAATGAATACATTTCTGTTCACATGTCTCTATATTCATTTACATATATACAGGCATCCTTGGGACGTTTGATCTAGCCTTGCCCTCAACATCCTTTCCAGGCCAGAATGATGAACGTGCCCTTACTCTCTGTATTTTTTTTATTTTCTTTTTTTTTTAAAACAACTTCCCCCAGAGAAATGGCCCTTTATTGTGATTGTGCAACTACAGATTCGGGGTGCTGCCTTAAACACCAAATTGGCTCACTCGAAAGTGAGAACAAAATATGAAAAGAGAACGACTTCCATGGGATTGATGAAGAGTTTCAATTCAGATAGTTAAAAATGAAAATGTGGCAGTGTATCGTTAAAAGAGGGATTATTTGATGTCTCTTTGTGACATAAATATGAAACAACATGTCAGTGTGCCGAACTGGAACAAAATAATATTTCTTAAATGACGTTTAAAATAATGTTTACATAAAACCAGGTTGGTTAAATCAGCACAATGCTACAGTTGAAAGAAATTGGATTTCTAGCCTTACAGATTAATAAGAAAAACCAGTACAAAATAATTTACCAAAAACAAAAGGGGATAAAAATGTATATGGTCTCGTGCTTTTAAAAAAAAGCCACATTTTCTATAACAAAAATATAAACAATATCATGGATTTCTTTAAAATATGGTTGTGATATATCTTTAAAATACCACTGTGTATTGACAATTAGCAACAATTATGATATTCACATAGCTCACTAATTACACTGAAAGCCAGCTGATACCACATCTTTTTAAAACCATTACTGTTCAGTATCACTGATAAATGTTAACATAAACTCGTGAATAGACAACATTGATCATTTTTCAATCAAATACATCTGAGTGTGAAAGAAAACATTGCGTCAGACAGAGCTTGACATCTGAAAACTGAAATGATGCTACACAATCACCTCGAGCTGACGCGGGGAAGGAGGGGGGGCACGTAAAAATGGGACACCTGTCTGTAAACGACAGGTGTGAGACAGAGTGCACAGGGAGGAAAGTGACTAGAAAGCACAATGACCTGCAGGAAATAGCTTATGAGACATTTGTACTGGCTCCACCCACAACAAGGAGGCGAGACAGCTGTCGTATGCTGGTTACAAACAAAGTCAGTGGTTAGATGGGAGTTTGGGAGCATACGTGGTTAGGTTGGACGACTAATGATCAAAGGACAAACATTATCAAGATGATACAAAAATATTCACAATGATATTTACAGTACAATAGCATTTCTTAAAAAATAATACATTTGCATACTGAACAGCACTCTTCTCAAAAAGTGAAATTGAAAACAAATGTGGCAAAAGGTCTGCACCAATACTGCTTTAAAAACCACTTCTTGAACAGCAGTGATGGATAAACTGTATTTGTCCTCCCCCTATATCTTTGAAATCAATATTACCTCCCATCACACTGATAGAAACACACACACACACACACACACACACAGTCACACAGTCTTTTCAGTCTCTCAGTCTTACACGGGACCAAGCAAACGCAAACGTCTCCATTTTCATCCCTCTAACTTTGGTGATGTTGAGCAGTTTCCCAAACGATTTATGGATAGTTTAATTATGCAGCAAGAAAAACAAGAAAACAAACAAACATAACACAGTATATCCAGCAAATACATGATAAATGTATCGCTGATATCAGCATTATCCCTTCAATGTTAGTGTTAAATAAATCATACTAAATCTGACAGAAATCAAAAACAAACATACAAACAAAAGAGCTGTGGAAACAGCAACTGATAAAAACCACACTATCTTTTTTTTTTACCACTTGGAACAGCACTAGACAAGGGCTTGGCACACATGCACTTTGTAGACTACTTAAACAGCACATCATTTAACAGGGAGAGAGATGCAACGTTGCAAAAATGGTGACACGAGCGACAACAGGGCTCATGCAGAGCAGACGGCATGGAAGGAGTTGTAGCATGAAGCAATAAACGCAGCAGGATCGTTACACGAAACTCCAATTTCTCATACTGTACCTTTCGTTTCCATTAAAATCACTCCTCTGTACAGGAGGATGATAACACAGAAGTGCAGGTATGCTATTCTTGGTATGTAATATAAAGTTCTTTTGCTTGAGTGGGGCCAAAATCTTCTCAGTTCCAGCTGTCAGCCCACAGAGGACTGAAAAGCAGGGATATCTCTTTTTGACAAAAATATGTATGTATCAAATTGTGGAAAAAGTGGAAGCCAATCATTCCCAAAAATCGTTTTTTAAAATGTTGAGCAAAAAATTACTTAAAAAACGTTTTGTCAAGGACAGAAATAAGCTGATCTAACTTGTCTATTTTTCTTTCTCTTTTTTTTTTTTTTTTGCATTGCCAAAATCTCTTTGTGCTTTTAAATGATGTGTGGTGGACAAAAACAGTGCGACTAACCAGACCAGTCAGGGAATGGAGCTGTGACACCAGGAAGCTGTGGCCTCTCAGATTGGAATAACAATATGGACATAACGCACACTGGCCAGATAGCGCAGTTTTTTTTCAGTTATTTTTCTGTTTTATACAGTGAATTCCTTTTTCTTCTCAAAAGGAAACAAAACATGAATAAAAAATGCTACAACACGTTCCTAATGTGCACACATACACCTGTGTGGCGTAAAAAAATTAACTGAGTATAGCTGCACAGTTCAAAAGTATCGCCACGGGGTGAGAGGGCGGGATGACCCTCCCTCCGCATCCCACCGTGTCTTTGAGTTTTAACCTCTTTCAGTCAATCTGCGCTGGCCAATGAAAACTGTACAAGAGGAAGAAGAGAAAGGGAGTGCATCTTTGTGTTTATCAAGTACTGAGGGACCGCCCTGGGTTCTCAGGGAAACTGCAGGCAGTCAGAAAAGTTTATGTGTGTCTGAATTGCCTCAGTTGTTTTCGAAGAGCGATAGAAGGTCGTCGTTGCTATTGCTGGGGAGGTCTGGCGGGTCCAGGTACGACAACAGCTCATCTGGGTTAGCGAGCTCTGGAAGAAGCTGTAAGGAAAAAGGAAAATTTGGTTAACACACAAAAAATCGATTATTTTAAACATTTCTGCTGTTTGTCAGGACTCACGTCTAAAGATGGCTCAGGCATGTCCGACCCTGCTTGGCTGTCCAAACTGCTGGAGGGGTTGAAGGCCAGGTCGCCGTGGGGATGGTTGTTGGGGCCGGGCTGCTGCTGTTGTTGCTGCTGCTGTTGCTGAGGCGGAGGAGCTTGTCGTGATGGCTGAGGAGGCCCGCTGTGGTGTAGCTGCTGCCCTGATTGGCTCCCAGGGTGTGGAGGTGCATGTAAGCTCGGCTGCAAAGGACCATGCGACTGGTCATTGCCGGCGGAGTGAGGTATCTGTAGAGAGAGGGGGAAAATATTTAGACCAAGGTTGTAACTAGAAGGTATTTTGTTTAAGGATTAATCTGACTGTTATTTGTTTGGTAACTTGGAGTTGTTTGTTTTGTGAGTGAATTAAAAATGGATTTTAGTGGCCATAACTTAAAACTCAGTTTGATGAACTTATCTTAGTTAAGTGGTATCTTAAAGGAATAGTTCAACATTT